TATTTATGTTTGTGGTTGTAATGTGACAAAATATGGAAAAGTTCAAGGGGTATGAACACTTTTGCAAACCAGTATATATATATATGATAAAACTGAACAGCCTAGTATTTTTTACTGTCTAATTTTTTATAGCTGAAGATGATGTTTATCAAAAAATGTCTAATAATACAACTAGTCGGAGTTTCCTTTAAATAATTGAAAATTAATTTATTAGATTTTCACAGAAGCTTTTTAAACTACAGATTTCTTAACTACTTTGGTTTTTGCTGCTTTTTGTTTGGCTTGAAGTGAAAGGAGTTCATTTTGGAAAAGATCAAGTCAGACAATTCTTTTCTTTTCAATAAAATAAAGTGTTTTTTTTWATGGATCCAGCTCCTCAGGAATCAGGATGCGGTTGTTCTGCAGCTGCCAGAGGACCTGATGATACCCATGAATTTACACCTCCCACATTGTGAGTGTGAATGTACGCCTCTTTTCTGACAGCTCTTTTCATTAATGTCTAATAAAAAAATAAAATCTGCATTTAGCTGCTTACTTGAAATGTAAAGCAAACAGCTTCAGTCCCTGTACAGAAACTGTCACCACAAAGCAAATATTCATGTTGTTTGTTAAGACCTCAAATCTCTGTGAAACACTTCAGTTCTGCTTTGCACTCACTCAAAAATCACTCCTGAAATCTGTGCTATGAAATACATTCCCCTTTAAAACCACGAGATTTTCTAACTCACGTCTGTTTTTATCTCTTAACACTACGCCACATTGTGTTAGCCCAAACACACTCTAATCAAGCACCAGCGAGAAAGATGGATGGAAAATAAAACCACCAAAGCCCCGCCCCCCTGTCTATTGCCGTGAAGAAAGCAACAGAAGAGGGCGGCCAGACCCATTTACCTTCGTCTGCCTCAATAGCTTCAATAGTAGCTGAAGAGAAGAAGAGGGGGGTTGCAAAATGAATGAGAGAAGTGAGCAAGAGGAGTTTATTTGGTCCCAGGAAACAAGTCAATGAGCAGCAGAGACAGCCAGAACCCACAACAAAAGGTTAACGTTCATCTCCACATTTCATGACAAAAAGAGAACAAAGGACGTTAGCGAAGAGGAGGGGAAAGGAGCAGGAAGAAAATAAATAAAATGAAATAAAATAAAAAGGAAAGGTGACCTCCTTTTTTTGTGGAGAGGATTACAGGTTCTTTGAAAAGGTGTGGTGATCAAAAAAACACAACCAGTTTACATAATGAACATTTATAACAAAACACTACACAAAGCCGAAACAAAAAACTTGTTTCTGTTGTGGGAAAAAAAAGAGCAGAAATGAAGGAAGCAAAGCTGGAAAAAAAGAAGAAGTTGAAGACACATTACTGTGGAGACATGGAGGACGGTTACTGCTGCGCAACATGAAGTAAAAGCTTAAAATTAGACATCTTTGGATAAAGATTCATCTTCGGTCGATTTCAGTGGAGAAATCGCTTTTCAGCTACTTACCAACCGTCATCCTGAAGATCATAAACTTACAACTGTGAAACGTTAGCTGGGGTGAAGCAGACAGCTTTAAGGGATAGTTTGGATCTTTTTAAGTGAAGGCTTGTGCAAAGGGTTTAAACAATATCTTACCTGTTGTAGATGGTTTCAGTTTGGATTGTATTAACGTGCTAACCGCTAGTCCATCTTAAAACAGCTTCAGACTCTAAGATTTTGAGCAAAAGCTACTTTCTAACCCTCCAAATCACTGTCGGTTTAAAACAACATGATGATTTTGATGAAATTTTTGAGATTAGAGTTGTTTTAAAGGGAACCCCGACTAGTTGCAACATTAGACATTATTTGATTAAGCATTTACTTCAACAGTAAAACAAAGACAACAAAAAATACTGTTTAGTTTTTATTAATATTAAAAATGCACTGGCACTCAAATGGTGCCATGTTATTTACACTGCAAAGCATTCTGGGTAAACAACGACGTTCACACAGAGCACCTTGACAGAGAGGAGAATGAAGAAATGACTCAACTAATAAATGTGGATGGAGGACAGAGCTGCTTCATGGAAGGACAACTTCAGCTTAGCTTGTTAGCTTTCTTGTTAGCGCCTGAGCTAATATATAGAGATATAGCATTAGCTCCCAAGCTAATAATGTTAGCTTGGGAACTAATGCTGTATATATTTGTTTATTATTAATAAATGTGTTGCATTAGTTCATTTATAGTTAATGCCACCATATTTACATATATATGTGTTAGCTCAGGTGCTAAAGTACAAGCTAACAGGCTAAGCTTCCATGAAGCWGCTCTGTTGTCAAACATTTTCAGTTGCAGGCTGAGTCATTTCTACATTCTTCTCTTTGTCAAGGCAATCTGGTTTTATTTTAAAGGGCTGATCATCAGATTTTGTCCATTATTACCCTTCATGGTGGATAGAGCTCGCAGCATTATACACAGTAAACTTTAATTACCTGGTAGGTTTTGCAGCAGAAATGTCACTTCCATGTGACAATATATGTCTTAAAATGTATAAAAACTAAACYGTATTTCACAGTCTTTGTTTTACTGTTAAAGTAAATGCTTAATCAAATAAAGTCTAATGTTAAAACTAGTCAGGCTTCCCTTTAAGACATTTATCATCGCCCAGCTTGAGTTTAAACAGAGCTGTTCACAACAGGTAAGATGTTAACTGTTGGTCACCACTTCACACGATCTCCCTTCAAAWAATAAAGATCTGAACTACCACCTTCATGGTAAAGACGACCACGCAAACAAACCGTCCACRAGGATGAGAGGCGAGCACAGGACAGAAGCACAAAAATGCAGCGAACGTGTCACGATACGGTGGATGAAGCCACAGAAGAAAGACGCCGGTGTTCGTTTCAAAAGATTCCTGTTGCAGCAGGAATCTCTCACCATCACTCTACCTTTGATGGAGCTCTCTTTAGTGTCAGCTGCTTCCAAAACAAAAGCTTTAAAAACTGCAGAAACCAATTTTCAGAAACAATAACCCCGCTAGGAACCATGTCGTCAGTGAAAATGTCTTTTCTAGATTAAATAATAAGAATTTATAGATGCGTAAAACTCCTGGAGAACAATAAAAACCCTGATTTCCACCAAATCAGTGGTTTAGTTTTACCTTTAATGTTTCACTTATTAGAAGTTCAGTCCCCTCTTCACCCAAATGAAGCAGCCAATTAAATTATGACCCCTTCCTAATAGCTCACTCAGGTGAAACCTTGTCTTCTAGCCTGTCTCTGTTGTTTCATGGAACGCTCTGCTTCTCTCCGGCCTCAATGATATTTATATTTTTAATCTGTATTCTGCATTCATCTACAGAGCTTTAAAAAGGTCTTCACACCACTGAAACTTCTCCACGTTTTGTCACGCTACAACCACAAACTTCAAAGTATTTCACTGAGATTTTATGTGACAGTACAAAGTGGAACATAACGCTGAAGTGGGAGGAAAACGATGCACATTGTGTAAAAACTACTCTATTTGGTGTGCTCCTTGGTCTTCATGATGCTGTTTCTAAGATGAATGTGAGTTGTTTTTTTTTTAGAACAGCTGGATTTAGACTGAAATTAAAAGTTGATTGTTTTGAATTTGGAGCAAGATTTTTCATTTTTATTAGTGGAAACCAAAAAAACTGCTTTATTTTTCTTCCACTTCACATTTATGAATTTTACTGAGGAAACATAAAATCACGGTAAAATACTTTGCAGTTTGTGGCTCTTACTCAACAAAATGTGGGGAAGTTAAAGAGGCACAAACACTTTATTCAAGCCCAAAACAAAACAAAGAGAGTCCTGATCTAAACCTGAACAGCTGAAGTCAAACTACGTTTAATTTACAAGGTTGAGAGTTGAGGGGGTGAGTTGAACTCTAAACATGTCTCACAAAAAAATAAAAAATAAAATAAAGAACACAGAACACAAGAGAATACTTGCACAACAATCGATTATACCTGCAGTTTCTAGAGAGAGAGAGAGAGAGAGAGAGGAGAAAGAAAAAGACACAGGTGACATTTGAGATAAGTGGTTTTCAGGAAACAAACAGGACGTTAAGTGAGGACACACCCAAGAAGACAAAAAAAGACTGAAGAAAATCTGAATGTGTTTGATGTCGTCAGGGGAAGAGGGGACTGGAACTTTATGTACATTTAGCTAAAAAAAGAATAGAAAAAAAAAGCCGCTCAGAGCAGCTGGTTTTGGTTTGTAGAATTAAAATAAATATACAGGTTATGACGGCCAAAGCTCTGTTTGAGGTTCTTCTGTGTGACGGAGGGTTTTGCCGTCCTGCGGACCGTGAGACGAGGGTCTTCAGGGTCTCTGAGTCAGTCTTACCGTTCTGCAGCTTCTCTTTGCCACCGGACAGAACTCCACTGGGCAGCATGCCTGTCGGGGTCAGTCCCTTCAGTGTCAGCACGCTCTCACTCTCCTCTCTGAAACCAACACAAACATGTCAACAAACATCAACATGTCAACAAACACATCAACAAAAACCAACACAAACATGTCAACAAACATCAACATGTCAACAAACACATCAACAAAAACCAACACAAACATGTCAACAAACACATCAACAAAAACCAACACAAACATGTCAACAAACATCAACATGTCAACAAACACATCAACAAAAACCAACACAAACATGTCA